TAGACTAGGGAGGAAGACACACCTATCACGAGGGCTCCTGGACAAGGGTGCCGACTTAGCTTCTTTGCGAGCAACAGGACTGCATGCTGAGCCCAGATGAGATTGAAGGCTTAGTTGTCTTTTCTTTTGTTACTTTATATTAGCCGTGGAGCTCTGGGAAGAGACAGGCAATAGGAAGGGACCCAGGGAAGGTAACTCTGAGGACACTCCAGGGTGCCAGATGCTGTTGATCCTTGTAAGGCTCTAGGTTGGAGCCCGGTGGAGTGGGAGGTCCCGTGCTCCCCCAACAACTGCCCCAGCTGCAGAAGGGACATAAACCACATCCAATCTCACTCCCCCTCTGATAAGGAGAGGGCAAAAACATTGCAAGCCTGGGGTGAAGCTAAGCCCATCCTCAGGTGAGGGACTGGACTGAAAGGACATCTCACTGAGTTGTGATACTGAGTGTACTACCCACTAGACCAGCTGGCCCTCTGAAGGCTCTATTACACAGACGGTCATGTGGGCATGCTTGAAGATCTTGAAGCTGGGGACAGCACTCTGCTAGTACAGTAGAGAAGTCCAGCCAAGGCAACGAGGGGCAGAATGAGTGTAACTTGGGATCATTCCAAGCTGCACAACCCCTCTCAAGATAGGAGTTGTTACAACCACAGGTCAGTAACTCTGGATCCTGGTTAGCCAATGAGAGCATGTCTTTTCTTTTCAGACTCAAGAAAACCCCTCAAAGTCTCTTCACTATCCCCATTCCCCTAATAGCACTTTCCTAACAAAGAAGGTTGTGGTTACTCACACAACTTTCACTGCATGCCAACCTGTGATGGGGTGACTACCCCCACACTCACCCTGCAGGGTTTAATACAGGCCAGATGGGCCAATTAATCCATTAGACAGCTGATAAAGGAGACTCAACTGGTGGGGCCTTTAAAGCCCAGGAGCTGAAAGGAGAAGAGGCTACTGGGAAAAGGCAGACACTCCCAGGAGAAAGGAAGGAGGCTTTGGGGAACTGGTAGGCCCAGGAAGAAAAGGGGAATGAGTAGTAGGAAGAGCAGTGAGGCCAGAGAGAGGAGGCCCAGACTGCTGAGCTGAGGGTCCCTGGGCTGGAACCTGGAGAAGAGGACGGGCCCTGGTTCCCCTACCAGCCACTGGGCAAGTAGCACCCAGGCAGTGAGCGAGAGGACTGCCTAGGACTATTGAGGAACTAAACTCCCCTGGAAGGGGGGAACACAGACAGTGACTTAGCCAGAAGGCTGAGTAATGAAGAGGACACTGTGGCTCCTGGGGCTATGGAAGGAGCTGCAGACAGACAGAGTGACAGTGTGCAAACCACGGATGGGGAGGCATCAGCCTTGAGCTAATCCCCAGAGTACCAGGGGGAGGTGCCAGTCTGGCAGTGAGTGATGTGCCCCATGACACAACCTCAGTCAGTTGTGGGCACAGCAATGATCTCTGCCCTGGCTCCAATGAAGCCTCCTTGGCTCCATGCTTGGTCAAAACCCCAGCAGTTTCTTAGCAGCAGCTCCGGTCTTGGACAGAGCTCCACAAGGCAATCTCCCATCCCAGACCAGGATCTCAGCTCCCCTCACTTCTAGAAGTCGAAATCTCTTTTCCCCAAGGCATCATGGGAGCTGTAGTCTCCAAAGGCTGGATTGCAGCACTCGGTATCTTCCTGTCTGGAACACCCCCAGTTAAGTTCAGAGGCTCCTCTAATAGGGGGTGCCTACACTTATGCTGGGCAACCAGAAATGAGGAATTCACAATTTGTAACCACCTGTGACAAGTTTGATGGAGGTGAATTGTGCAGCATCACATGACAACCCTGTGGCAGAGGGAGAAACAGAATCCAGTACTCCAGGACAACATTCAACTGCATTAACCATGAGGCCTTTCACCTCCTACAGTTCCTGTCTTCATTCACTACACACCTTCCAACTTCTGCCACAAATGAAGCAATGGACCTACAGACAAGCAGCCTCTTTAACTACACAACCCTGATTCATCCCTAGAGTAGGTCCATCCTGTGCACTGAATAATGCAAAAAAGTATGTGATCATATAATTGACTGAATCCTAATGCATATACATAAGGAGAGGAAATTAAGATTGCTCAGCCAACTATAATACTGGTATTTTCTAACTCTTTTTTTCTATTTTCTAACTGCATACTTGGCTTTGGAACCTTCACATTGTTTCAAAGTTGGTTGTTTTTTTAATACAATTTCCTAATTTAAATATAACCCTGGAAAATCTCCCAGAAATTCCATCATGTGGAACTATATTAACCCCCATCTTGGGTCATTACCAGGGGTTTGGACCTTTAGATCCACAGCACAGACCTCTACCGCTTGAGATAACAGAGTAACTGATAACTGTAGTAGACTGTTATCCCAGACAAGCCAGTGGGTTTCAGAGCTATTTGTTGACAGCAGAGGAATGTAGAGACTCAGGCCTCCTGGATTCAATTCCAGGTTCTGGAGGGGAGTGTTCTCCAGTAGCTGTAGAACTTACTGCCCCTGTGCCCCCTGCCTATATATCTCCCCCTCTGCTTTGCTCCTGCCCCCACGCTCTTGACCTCTGTTCCTATCCAGCCTCCTGGTACTCCCCCCACCACACACACACCTTATTAGAGCCCCTCTCTCTGAAACCATGCCTCCCTCCTGCTCTGAACATATATTTGTTAGAAATAAGGATTAAGGGCATGCTCCAAAGCTCCATGTAGTCAGGAAAAACAAAAATCTCATTAGTTTCAATGGGCTTTTTGACCAGGTTCAGAATTCACGAAAGAAAAGAAACACTTGTGTTAATTTTTTCTTTCCTTTGGACTGGTGAAGTTGGCACTGGCTCGGTAGACGGGTGAAACATGGAGGGGCGGAGATGATGAACAAAATTGGTATGTATAAGAAGGAATGATTGCACATATGTGCTGTAAATTCTTCAGCTTAGATTAATGTTTTCCTGTGAATATAATTGGCTGCCTTCTGGTTTAGGCCAGATGACCAGTTATATTTCAGCACAGCTATAAAGTTGAATCTAGATGAAATATTTGGACAATGGGAGCCAATGTCTGTGAGCTATTCCAGAAAATTATTAAATAAACAAAAAACACTGGAACCTCTAACAGCAGAACATAATAATAATTATTACTTTTCATTCACATATAATATTTAAATTCTACTGCATTGACTGACAAAAATAAACAAACCGCTCCATTGTGCTAAAAAAAGCAGGTTACCATAGCATCACCTTCACGTGTATGGCAACATACTATTTCTCAATGAAAAGCCTATCATCATTAATCCGGGCACCAACAGATTGTCATGGCAAAATAAGTCTATACATTTGTTTGCTACTTAAATGTTCCCATCCTGCATTTGCAGTCAAATATCAGTAAGAGAAGGAAGGGACTAAATTCTAGTCCTACTGATGTCTATGGGCCTTTTATTATTGACTTATTGGACCAGGATTTGGCCCTGTGGACCAGATTCTGAGATCATTTACACTGATGTAAATTGGGAGTAATTGAATTGATAGTCCACATTTACAGTTATGCAAGTGGCATCGGCATCTGGCTTATGGGTTTAGCCCTATAAACCAGATTATCTTCCCTATTCTGATCACTTTCCACCTCTATATGCTACAAAACGGTCAGAGTCTGGCCCTAACTAGGTAGCTGAGAATTCCTCACATATGTAGGGAGAATCTCTCAGAGGGTATAAAGCCAACGTAGCTGGCTCCTACGCCAACTACCTTCCCCTGCTCTGGTGTAAGGTGCATTGCAAAGTGTGTTTGTGCTCTACCAGTTCTGCACTGGCATATGGCGTGGTCCCCAGTGGAACAGAGTCAGCTGGTGTTCATTGGATTTTAACGTACTTTGGGGTAGGGGCAATTTAAGAATCAGAGAATTGCAACTGGCTCCCTGACTGCCCTTCTGCCCCATGTCTTGCACTCGGCAGATGTCAAAACAGAAGAGGATCTAGGCCTATGTATTTAGGCGATGCACGAGTGAGATTAAGGACCAGAAGGGGCAATAAAATGATACTCATTGCTGCTTTTCAGTAGACTCACTGCCTTCTATGTTCTCTTCCTGAGCGTACATCTTGATTTTAGGTACTCGGAAAGGGCCCAATCCCAGTAAGTGGAAAGGCTGTCATTGCCTGCAATAGATGTGGGATCAGGTCTAAATATACATCCTTTTGAAATCTGGTCCTTAATCTTTCCTATTCTTCTGTGACTTGCTTCAAATTTGTCAACATTTCTTTCGGGTATTAAATTGATCAAAGAACTGAGGCTTAGGAAATGCATCGCCATACCTTTATTCACATCCCCATCAAACTAGCATTGCTTTACTCCGTGCAGATTTGTTTCCATTATACAACATCAAGATTTTGTTTCAAACAGAATTGTAATGAACCTGGGGCTCATTGCTGGCTTCCTCCCCTTCATCCCAGAAGGATGTAGCCAGTGAAGTGTACTGTTACTCAGTTCAACCTCCAAGCTGTAGAGGGCTGAATAATTCAGAGTACAGAAAGATGAGGTACTATCCTATGGTAATAGAGGGGACCAGGTACAGTAGGTAGCTTGGAGTTGTGTGAGAGCAAGAACAGCTGGCAGCAAGGGCCCCGGAACCATTGTAGAAGTGGGGTGGCCAAGGCCAAAATGCCCCTTCCCTCCCTGGCAGAATCTATTATTCTGCAGAGTGGAGGGAATCTGCAGGGGACATGAATTCTGTACTTGCGCACTGGGGCAGAATTCTCCCAGGAGTACATAGTGCATCTTTGCCTTTAGCAGTATGATCATGTTTTTCCCACAGCACATATGTTTCTTTTGTTAAAAAGTGAGGGGCATGGCCCTCCCACTTTTAAAAGTGAAGGGCCTTGGCCACCTTCCTCCTACCCCCCAGTTCTGGTGCCAGTGGCTGGCAAGTTGATCACTGGTTGTGGAGAGAAGTCCAGGAAGCTTGATAATGACTATAAATACATTAAATAATATTTTATCCTTTAATAGGAGGAGGGAAGAACTCTTGGAACTGAAAAGTTCAACATGGATTGTGACTGTGCAATTGGAGACAGAATATCTGACGAGAAGGTGGGTTACTGACTGAACTACAGGGAAAAGTCAGTGAGAAGAAATTAATCAGAAGCAAGGTGAAGTGTGTGGACTTGATTCTGCCAGGAACTGAGCAGCAGTCAATTACTTGCTTAGATGCTTTGCTGGATCAGGGTCAAAGTATTGAGCACCTTGCAGAAGTTCAGGGCCAGAGTGTTTAGCACCTTGCCCTAACAGAAGAACATTGTGAGGAAAGTGATGGTGACATGAAGAAAACATCTCTAATAATATAATTGGAAGTACTACAAATATTTGGCACCCTTCATAAATGGATCTCAAAGCATTTACCAACTTTAATTAGTTTACACTTTATATATTATGTAGCTCAATATGGCAAAATGTGATAGCAAGGTATATCTTGGGGTTTGATAATAGCTGGATCTTCTTTATGGGCCAAATATAACAGTTCTAACTCAGTCAAGTCAGTAGGAGCAGTGGGTGCTTAACACCTCTAAAAATCAGGTCACTTCTTTTTTAGGAGCTTAACTATGCATGTAGGTGCCTAACTTTAGGAATTCTAGAGTGGGATTCTCAAAAGTGCCTAAGGAAATTGAGTTGCAATAGGAATTTGAAAATCCCATCCTTATGTTTGAAATCCTAGCCAATTATAACAGTTTTTATCCAGAAAGATGATGATATACCATAATTCTGTTACTCAAGTAAGGTTTTAAATTATTCATTATTTATTCAGTCTGTATTTCTGTTGAGAGGTAGGTCGACTGAAATCATCTGTACACAAAACATATGTTCATAAAACACAGCCTCATTTTCTACTCTGAGGTTGGTTTTTTTTTTTTTTAAGTTCAGTATGTGTGGATCCATGCCTGAATCCTATTCCATTTCAGGTTGCTTTCAAACATGGCCAAAGAAAGGAAAGGAGAAAATGAATTGATATTGCAAGGTGAAATAAAATGTATAATGAAAGAAATTAAACAATGTTTGTGCATCAAGTCTGGCAGAATTCTTCCTAGGAATGTATCTTATCAGTGATCAGACTGAGCAATGATCTGTTTCATTTTACTTTACCCAATTTGTCAGTGGCAGAAGAAAACAAACAACCAGCAATCCTGATAATTGTAAAAAGCTGGTGTAGTCAGTCAGTGCAAATGAATTCTAATAAGCCTGTCCTAACATCCCTGTAGCCTGAAATCTCCTCCTCCTTATCATTTAAAACCTTATCACAATGATTTTTTGGCTTGCTCCATATTATCCAATGTAATTTGCAAAAAATATACATTCGTAAGTTCCCTGAGAACATAGAGCACTGGGTTTAGTTTTGGCTTTTGTAGAACCCTGGAAGCTGGTGAATTATGTAAATTATTAATTTAATTTTTGTGTTTTGCTGCCATGAATTAGCATATCACCATATATTTTCTAAATAAGAAGTTCACGTGTGTCTTCACAAAACTTTAAAACAGGGGTAGGCAACCTTTCAGAAGTGATGTGCCGAGTCTTCATTTATTCATTTTAATTTAAGGTTTCGTGTGCTGGTAATACATTTTAACATTTTCTTAGAAGGTGTCTCTCTCTAAGTCTATATTATATAACTAAACTATTGTTGTATGTAAAGTAAACAAGGTTTTCAAAATGTTTAAGAAGCTTCATTTAAAATTAAATTAAAATGCTGATCTTACGCTGCCAGCCTGCTCAGCCCGCTTCCAGCCTGAGGTTCTGTTCACGAAGGCCGGCAGCGGGCTGAGCGGTGCCTGCGGCCGGGCCGCTGGCTGGCAAGGGGCTGGCAGCCGGGACCCCAGACCTGGGGGGGTGTTCAGGGGTCAAGACAGTGGGGGTTTCAGGGGTCAGGGCAGAGGGCTGGGGTGTGTGGGGGTGCAGGGCAGAAGGCTGAGTGTGGGGGGGGGTTCAGGGAAGAGGGCTGGGTGTTGGGGGGGACTCGAGGTCAGGGCAGAGGGCTGGGGGGTGTGTGGAGGTGCAGGGCACAAGACTTGGTGTGGGGGGGTT